TTATGGAAGTATAACAATGAGAGGAGGAAATTCATGTGGCTGGGGCAGGAGATGGAAGTTAAGACATGTTGGGTTAAAAGATCGGCTAATTCCCTAGCTGACGCTAATTCCCTAGCTGACGGTTTAGCTAAACAAGGGGCAGAAAGGGATTCACTGTTTTGGGCTAAGCTGTAACTTTAGTGTATTCTTTTCTCTTTTTCTTCTTTTTTCTTTCTTTTCTGAGGCTCTTAGTGACTCTTGGGAGATAAGTGTGTTTGTCTTCCTCCTGTAAATTTTCTACTGATGATTAATGAAAGTGTTATTGATCAAAAAAAAAAAAAAATGATTGCTTCTGTTATTTTTATACATCCTTGGAAAAAATTTTGATTAGTCAATGAAGGGGGAAATAACATGTGCCAAACACATCAGTTGACTCATGAGTCCCAGAACACTGATTCTCCTTTATTTAGTTGTGAATAGTATTCATGGTTGATGTGACAGCCCTTCTCAGAGGCTTATGTATTGAAAGCTGAAAAGGTTTCTTTGCGACAAGCATGGATCCTGATGGTGGTATCGCTCTTAAGCTTAACCTAGCTGCCTGAAGGGGATTTGACCTTGGGATAACTTATTGACAATTAAAGCTGTTTCTTCTATTAGATTCTGTCTTTTACATCTTGTTTGATTATCCTTTTCCATCTAACAATTAACTTGTATTTGATACTTCTGGTTTCAGGTTCCCAGTGTTGAAGTTAATGCCCTTATGACGACTTTCAAAATGAAGCCTCTTTTGTTCCCGGTATTTATATTATATTATTATTTTTTGTGCATTTTATTCTTAATTTCTAATTAAACTTAGTTTCATTATGCTTTACTATGTTGCAGAAGAAACACGTCTATGCTTCTTATGCTAGATACACACTTTTGCCTTTACACTTAAACAAATTTACAGACCTTTGTCCTTAAGATGGGCCTTTTATTTTTATATTTTATGGGAATCCAATTGTTAGAGATTTCTAGATTCTACATTGGACCCCAAATGAAGGCCTTCTGCCCYGTTTTGCAGTTTTGTTGTTCATTCAAGCTTGGCTGTTGAACTTCTTGTCCTTTTTTTTTTAATTTCTTTTATTTTCACCTGTTGGGCCTTTTAGTACTAACAATTATGTTGTTTTCTTTTTTTTTCAGCTATAGTTTTTTTAATATTTTACTTCAATGTTCTTTTTGTTTGGCTGCAGTTAGCTGGGTCTATAACAGCTGTCTTCAACTGTCAAGGCCCACTGGATGCTCCTATATTTGTGGGGAGTGGAATGGTTTCAAGAAAAACAACTCACTCACTTTCCGAGTTACCTGCTTCCTTTGCCTCTGAAGCATTGATTAAGAATAGAGAAGCTGGGGCAGTGGCAGCTTTTGATCGTATTCCGTTTTCCTATGTATCAGCCAATTTCACTTTCAACACCGATAACTGTGTAAGTTCATTTAAGTCACCAATCATGCATATTAAAATAGTGAACAGTCATTTGTTCTCATCACAAGTGATAAAAATTGCAAACTTTTTGTTTTTATATTTTGGGTTTCAGGTTGCTGACTTATATGGAATTAGAGCAAGCCTATTGGATGGTGGTGAAATTCGTGGTGCCGGAAACGCATGGGTCTGTCCAGAGGTACTACTGCTAGCTAGATAATCTGTCTTGCAGGCACGTGAAAGTGGTAACTAAGATGTGGTTTTATGCTGTAGAAGCATATTATTGGTCCTTAGTTTTGCTATGTTTTCATAAGAAATTAATACTTCTATTTTTTTTTTCCTTTTTAACCTTTTTTTTTTCTCTCAGTTTGGAAATCAATATTGCATTGGTACATCAGATAGGTCCCAACTATTTAGGTATCCTGAGGTGTTAGGCACTTAACCACTAGAAAAATCAGGATACAGGGACACAACTATAGATGAATATTTTCAATTAGATAAATGATCTTAGAAGTAAGAAATAAGAGACTAAGAAAAAAAACTAAAAATCTAATCTCGGCATCTGATTGGATGTTTTCTTTCTTATAGCATATTATCCATTAACATTTTTTTTTTGATAAATGAAGAAAAATTTTGTTAGAAAGTCTATAGAACAGGTACAAGTGTCCCATGGAGAGGCACAAGCTGCGACCTCTCCAAGACAAAAAACAAGAGCTTACTGCAGAGATGCCCAATACAATTGTTCCCTGTTTTCCCCGTGCTTGGCTAATCTATCAGCCATAGCATTTGCTGATCATCTTATCCATTAACATTAGATGCCAGCATTTTTTCTACTTCAGTTTGGAAAATGGGAGTCTGTTATAAGCAACATTGTACTGAGTGTAGGTTTAGTGTCCAAGTGATGATATGGCTAGATAGTTTGGAAGTGTTGTGGTAGGTCAGCAATAAACAGTTATTTTATGTTGCTTTCCTCTATTTTCTTCTCTCCTTCCCTCTATATACATCAGATCATGAGTAAGCAATCAAGTTCCTCTAAAATTGTATCAGGTACCATTCTCTTAGTATTTTTGCATCCTGTATCTATACTTCGTGATCTTGTATTATATTTTTTTGAGATTTTTTGGCTTTATATACTTGAAGTCTTTCAATACTAGAGTTCAGTTCATGAGGTATGTCTTGACATATCCATCTCAAAGTTCCTCTGGAGTTTCTTCTGTTTTTGTTCTACCCGTGTCCACCAAAATAATGTTGTCAGACTCGGGACTGTTCACCAACCCAGAAGGGCTACGGGTCATTGGTCAAATGGTCTTATCACTTGTTCAGTCCAATGACCTGTGACATGTGTAACTTGCACACAAACAAATTAAAAAAACATGTGTAACTTGTGGTTTGAGTGCTATTTTCTTGGTTTTCGTATAAGTGACCGAGGTTTCTTTTGTCAAAAGTAATATACATATTAAGTCAATATAGAAATTAAAGAAAAGACAATGAACATAAGTGGTGTAATGGCCATAGTTCAATGGTAGCATGCTATTCTTTGTAAATGTGAGGTTATATTTTTGAATCTCACCACTGCCAAAGGTTAGGATCATATCCAGTTCACCCCTCTGAAGACCCCAGATAGCTAGGACCAACATTGGATAATGGCCTAAATCAATGACTTGGGCAGGTTGTTAATAACTGGTTAGGTTGCTGAAACCCTGGTAGTTTTCAATGGTTCACAGAAGTTGATAGGTGAGCTGGTTTTCCAAAAACTTGAAAACTTGGCAAATCTAAAACCAGAAAAAAAGGTCATTGGTTCCTGGTTCTAACAGACCAGCTGTCCACTTAAGGTTCAAATTATCTACATGATACACCTCATATCAGGCATATTGTATTGTATCAGCAGGTGGCCGATACAGCTTTTTTAAGGTATATTAAGGAAACACTAATTTTAATAGTTAAATAACATTAAAATAACCCCCTTAAATTTTGAGAAAAAAACTAAAAAAGAATAATGCGTTAGGTACAGAGTACCACTGCACCCCTTTTGCCATATCAGGGTGTATCAATACTTTGAACCATTCTGTCTTATCTGGTCTGAGTCTGGCAACATTAAACCAAAATATTGCATGTAAAGTGAGCTTCCATACAATTTGCACTTTATCTTCAAAATGTCCTGATAGTCACTCTTGATTTCTAGAAATGGCATAACTGGTAGCCTCTAATCCCCCTTGAAGATAAAGAAGCTCCACATATCCTTAGCACTTGACAATCTAAGGATATCCCTCTTCTTTCTTCGCCTACATGTCTTGCTAATAGCAACATTTTGAAGTTGATGCAAAGTTAACATCTATCCCCTATCCTGTCTTCTTTGGATGAGTAGTGGTAAAACTTCTATTGAAAGGGAAACATGCAATAATATACAAAGGAAGCTAAGGTAGATTTCAATCACTCTGAAGATTGGTCTGGGCAGTTCCAAAGCTCCTATTGGAACTGAATCCCAGTCCATGAGAAGCCAGTAATTGTTCAAATGGGTCCTAGGAGATAGTGTAAAAATGGTGCTGTAAACAGAATGGAATGGTGAAACAGGACCCGTGTAGCTGACCCCACATAGTTGGGATAAGGCTATAATGACGATAATGTCCTTTTTTCCCCTTTCTTTCCAAATACCACCTACATTGCTATATGTGAACTTTATGCAAAATGCATCCAAATGACCTAACATTAACAGCAGCAGATTCCCTACATTTCCATTCCACCCTGAATAAGCAGAGCTGCAAACCACAAAGAACTCTTTGTAACATAGGAAATTAAGAAAAAGATGATCAGTATTTTCTTCATTCTCATTACACATAACAAAGTATTTAGGTGGCCAAGGTAAACAAGGTCTCCACCCTATGGGAAACAGGATTTCCTCAAAAATTATCCACTGAAGATGATGCAAAAACCGATCTTTCCCTAATCAATTTGATATAGAAGGATCTAATTGAAAATAAGTCATTAGTATCCTCCTTCCTGGCTCTCCTATCTGTTTCCTTTTTTCCATTGCACATTTTTCCATCAAACTTCCTTTGTAGCAGTTAATGAGAAAAGGATTCTATATCATTATCCTATCTTTAATCTTTAGGCATTCACCTATGCTAAACTCCTTTGACATACTCGACCTGTATGGTCTTTTTATACCCCACAGTTCATTCTTGATCCTCCCACATTTAAAACCAAAATTCATAACAAAATCCTAAGTCGGGAACAGGAGGAAGTATTTAATTACACTTTTTTTTCTTACCAGTCAATATAATTTGAAGTTGCTATAAAAAACTAAATAAATAAAAACAGGAGGAACTATTTAATGTAGAGATTCTTTAGGCTGATCCCTATTTTTCTTACTTTTCCTTGTATTATGGGGATTTGGGAGCACAGTTGTGTGGTGTATCATATGTAAGATTCTACTCATTGGTCATTACAACCCCTACTAGAATAAAAAGTTATTTCATTATTTGTTAAACTTGAGAAAGATATAGTTAGTTTCCCATGAATTTTGTTGACACTCGTTATGTTTGATCTATAGTGGTTGGGCATTGCCCAGGCAACTGCACAAACCTATTACAGTTGACAGGGTTCCTGGCTTGTCAAGGAGTTTACCTGGGCAGTGCTTTTATTGGACTACCTGTAGATTTACCATGATAACACAAGTCTAACTCTCTTGATTGTACATATATTGTAAGCACAATTTGTTTATTTGGTTTTGCAATATTTCTTTGTTTGCATAAATATTTGCCATAAGACCTTGGTTTCTATACAATTTTTCTGAATGTTCTTCTATGCCACATTGAATGATATGTTCCTTCTCCCACTTTTATTCTATTCCTGATTTGGATTTTTCTTATATTTACAACTTTTATTTGATTTACGGTCTCATAAGCATCTGTTTACCCCTGATCTTTTATTTGTCAGGCTATATTACAGTTTCATTTCCTTAACTCTTATGTTTTTGATAGGGTGAGGTGGATGACACAGCGATGGATGTGAACTTTTCGGGAAATTTGTCCTTTGACAAAGTTATGTATCGGTATCTACCAGGTCAATTTCAACTGATGCCACTCAAAATAGGGGAACTGAATGGAGAAACTAAGCTTTCAGGATCCCTTTTAAAACCGTAAGATACTGACATCTGATGTTCTTATTTTATTAAGAAGTTGATGTATTTGTTTAATCTTAAATGTTCTTTTAATTTCAATGAGATGTATTTGTCATTGGTTTATAGGAGATTTGACATCAAATGGGCTGCACCAAAAGCTGAAGGCTCATTCAGTGATGCACGTGGTGATATTATTATTTCACATGATTATATTACAGTCAATTCTTCATCAGTTGCTTTTGATTTGTATATGAATGTTCAAACATCATATCCTGATGATTACTCATTAAACAGAAGAGATTATAGTGTTAAGAGTATTGTGCCTGTAGTCATTGAGGGAGTTGAAATGGACTTCCGCATGCGTGGTTTTGAGTTCTTCAGCTTGATCTCTTCTTATCCTTTTGATTCTCCAAGACCCATGCATCTGAAAGCAACCGGAAGGATCAAGTTTCAAGGAAACATTGTAAAGCCTGCCAGTATACTGGCTGAGGAAGTAGTTGATTGCATGAATAATGTGTTGGATGTGCAGATGACTGGTAAAGAAAAGCCAACTAGTCTTGTTGGGGAGGTTTCAATTTCGGGCATCAAGTTAAATCAGCTGATGCTGGCACCTCAGTTAGTTGGATCGTTGACAATTTCTCGTGAGAATATCAAGGTATAAATTAAATCCTGCATTTTTTTATGATTTCTTTCTTGATCTTGTAGTTTAGCACTTTTCCTGTTTAATCATACAAAGTGGAGAGTAACTCTATAGACACAGGAGAGTGATCCATGTTAGGGAGCTTGTGGTCTGAGAGAGAAGCACCTAAAACATGAGCTAGAAAATTGTCCACAAGTGGAAGTGATATTTAGTTAATTGGATTACCAGTACAATAAACACGAGTTCCAGATTATAAATGATCTACAAAAGACTAACATTTATTTTTGGTTGTGCTTTTTTATTATATTGTTATTGCTGTTATTATTGTTGCTTCTGCTGTTGCATTCTTCTTCTGTTGCTGTTCTTTTTGCTGTTATTATTGTTGATGTCTCAAATCATGTTTGAGCAAATACTCTATTTGGTATTACTTGTTGCCTGATATTCTTGGTTGAATAGTACCTCCTTTTATTCCTCCTTTTTGTCATTTATAAAAAAAAAAATCCTCCTTTTTGCAATGCAGTTGGATGCCACGGGTAGGCCAGATGAAAGTTTGGCAGTTGAGGTTGTTGGTCCATTACGACCTCTGACAGAAGAAAACTTGCAAAATGGAGCAATGTTGTCGTTTTCCCTTCAGAAGGGGCAACTTAGAGCTAATGTTTGTTACCAGCCACAATATTCATCTAGTTTGGAGGTACTTATTCTCATCTATAAATTACCCTTTATTCTAAATAAAATGTACATTGACTTTTATATCAATTAAATCTTCTAAATGTGGACTTGTTATGTTTGCTTGGAATTACTGTTGATCTCAACTCTTAACCTTTCTATGTTATGTGGGTAGGTACGGAATTTACCACTTGATGAACTGGAGCTGGCTTCACTTCGAGGAACAATACAGAGGGTGTGTTTTCATCATGCACAACTTTTCTATGACGCTATTTTTTTTTCTTGAATTGCTTTTTATTTCCTGCTTTCATCATCTGATCTTGGTGGATTCGTGTAGCCGGTCCCATATAGTTTGGATAAGGCTTAGCCGATCATCATCATCTGATCTTGATGTGTATGAGAAGAGAAGAGCAAGGAATGACAACAGGTCAAAACTAGGGAGTGAGCTCCGCAGGAATCAACTCAGCTCAAATCAACTAAGCCTTGTCCCAATTATATGGGGCCAGGTACATGAATCCAGTTCCCACATTTCACTCTGTTCAGTGTCTTATCCATTGTTAAATTATGGGCCCTTAAGTTCTTGTAGACCCTTAAAGTTGTAACAGGTAACATTTTTTTTCTTAAACTTTTGCCATAGATGTCCTTGTCTACAAGTAAACAAACCACCCTAGTCTACTTTCCTACATTTTATCACTTATTGGAGGTTCTCCTAGGTTCCTTCAAACAAGTCCATTTCTGATCCTATCCTTTATATTTTTCCCACACATCCATTTCCTTATTCACATTTCTCTACACTAATTTTTGGATATATTGTTTTTTGACTGCCCAACACTCTGTTCAATCTAGAAGTGCTGGGCTTGTAACTGTTTTATGAAAATTTCCTTTTACCCTAATTGAGCTTCAACAGAATGGAAAAAAAAAGCTTAATGTAACATGTAAACTGGTAATGATAATCTTAAACCTGGTAATGAAAACCTGCATTATGAAAACAATTAACTCTGCCCTCTAAAATACACCTCCACCACCCATGGAACCAGGATTATCCCCTCAATAGCCATTAAAATTCAGCTTGTCACACTATTTGGTTGGAGAAAAAGTATTTCTTATTTGCAATGGCAAGAGATCAAACCTAACTGGTATCTTCTTAATTGGTTTTTAAGTTCATTATGTGAAAAGGTGACTAGAAACTTGCAAGTTACAACTCTACATTCTGGGCTTCTGGCTGCAAATTTCACTCCATTGACACTGTAGTTCTTTTGTTCTCAATTATTTTAGGCTATGATTGATTCTTTAAACTAATGAGAACTGTCTTTTGAACAACATTTTTTGTAATATAAAATTTTGAGGATGATTTTCTATTTAATGCTATTTTATTGGTTGTTGGTGGCAAGTCCAAATTGTTTGTCAGACATTAATTAACTACTTGCTTATTTCCAGGCAGAACTCCAGCTTAATTTTCAGAAAAGAAGGGGACATGGAATTTTATCCGTACTTAATCCAAAATTTAGTGGTGTCCTGGGTGAGGCTCTTGATGTGGCTGCTCGGTGGAGTGGAGATGTTGTGAGTTCCCATTGAACAAGTACACTAGTTATTATATTGGTTTCTTTTCTAATCAAGGATCCTTTTAGATAAGCTTATAAATTTATCTATTCTGTAAGAGTTTTTGCTCTTTGATTATGATTTCAACCAACCAGACAATTGGTTCCATAGTTGGCAGGGTTTGTTAACTCAATCACCTATTCACCTCCAGGTATACTGTACATGGATGACCTGTGCATAAGGTTTTAATGAAACTTAGTTATGTGAACATTAGTTATAATATTCTAGCATATTTATCCAATAAAAGGCTCCAAGATCTAGTACCAAAACACCTTATAATAACAACAAAACCTTAAATTGGTAATGAAAATTCATATTGTTTATCAACACCCCCAGTTTGTTTTTTAAACTCCTACATCTATTCCAGGTTGGGATGCACCTTAAATTTTATTTAAGTAGAAAGTGGGGTTACATGCGGGGGTGGGGTGGGTGGGCCCAGTGGGGGGTTTAGAACCTCACCCCTGAGCCTTGATTGTAGGCTATTGACTGTAAGTTTGTCTGATTTAGAGATCCAACAGAATGAGTTTTCACCCTGGATATCAAAGATCTTGTCTATCATGTCTGATAACATAGCTGCTAAGGATGCATACATCTGACCCTTGTGCATCCTCCCCTCAATAAGGGGTAAAGATTCAGCTCCTTCCAAGTAAATAGTGCCAATCAGTCCAGGATGCATACATCTGATAACATAGCTGCTCTCTGTGGATAAAGATCCTACCACAGAAGGTCAAGGATTACCTAAAGAACAAGTCTCAAACTTAATTTGATGGAGCTCTTTCTGTGAGGAACGGGAACCAAACCATTACTTCCACTCTGTGAGGATGCAATCCAATAATTATGATCCGTCTATTATTATTGAGTCTAGAACAGATCTCCAATGGCTGTATGTGGTTGATTACTTCTAGAGCTGTCAATGGATCGGGTTGGGTCCAGGTTTGCATAAACCCAGCCCAACCTCATAAGTAAATATGCAGAACCAGTTCTGAATTTGATCCTATAGAGTCTGTAATTGGGCTATCAGGTCTGAACCATAAGATTCAATTATAATTGAAAACTATACTTCTGTCCTGCAATTTGACAATCATCATCATCGAAGCCTTATTCCAACTATATGGGATCAGCTACATGAATCTTGTTTGGATACCTTACTATTTGGACTTGTTCCCTAGAAAATCTTTCTTCTTTAGTTGTGAGATACTGTTTCCAAGTGTCTAGAAAGATTCTGGATTCTTTTTTTCTTTTTTTTTGCTTGGAAAACTGTTGTTATTTGTCTAGTTGTGGACTCAGCTTCACTATTGTTACAATGTTGAACTATGAACTGCTTGTTAAAATGGATGAAAAGATTAATGTTATTCCTGTAATGTTCAATGGAAATAACTACAGCATGTCGAAGTTCCACTTTAATTTTTTTTGTTGAGGGAAAAGTTTTAGAAGGCTACCTGAATGGTAAGACCATAAGGTTACTAAAACCTGAAGAAACTGATGTGAAGGCTTTTCAGCAATGAAATCTTGACAATGAGAAGTCGGTTTCCTAAATTCTGAGCTCTATAAAGACCCATTTTGTTGTTCCTATGAGAAGAATGAAAACCGCATATGCCATGTATGCATATCTAAAGAAAGTTTACTACTAGTCAAGCATGTCCAGACAATAGAGTTTGAAATTGTTGCTTGTTGCCAAGGGGACAGGAGAATGCAAGAGTACCATGCCAAATTTCTGAACTTATGGGCTGAGTTGAGTTAGTCCACATTGATCCTTCGGATTCTGCTGAGTGTGTCAAGTACCTTCAAAAACATTTTGAGAAACGAAAGGTACATCAATTTCTAATGAGGCTCAAACCTGAATATGAAATAATCAGGTCTAATTTTTTGAGCAGAGGTACCCTTCCGAAATTGGGCTTAGTGATGGGTGAACTACTTATGGAGGAGACTAGACTTTCGACTATTACGGAACTTGATGGAAAGCTAGCTAATACTGGGGTTAATACTGCTTTCATTGCACATGGAATTAGGAAACCAACCATAAGGATGTCTCAATGGTTCAATGCTATGAGTGTAAAGGATTTGACCATATTGTTTTGCCTTGTAAGAAGAAAAATGTGTACTTACTGTAAGCAGCATGGTCACATTGTTCTGGATTGCTCTGTTTGACCAGCTAAGGGTGTTCAAAAGAAGTACCATCATCGTACATATCAGGTGCTTGAGGGCCAGGCTTCTGACATCACTTCTACTAAGTCAGATTATTCTATTAAAGGTAAATCATCTACACCTATGGATGAAGAGAAAATTCGGCAAATGATATCCTCTGTTATCTCTTCTGCTTTCTTTGCTATTGGCTTATTTGGTGAGTTTTCAGCTATTGTTCCCCTTTTTCTATTTGGATTATTGATTATGGAACTAATAATCATATGACTGAAGCATACCTTGAACCCTCAAGTAATTATACTAAAATCCATCATAAACATATTATTATTGCCAATGATGAAAAATTAAGCATCATTGGTAGTAATGGTTTGTCCTTTAAGCTTTCACACTCTTCTTCCTTTTCCCTTACCAAGACCTTATCTGTCCCCAATCTCTCTGTTAGTGTGAAATAAGTAGGGGTATTTCTGTCTTTATACTTATGTTTATGTGCTGATGTGTAAGATTATGTTAGATTTAGTGTCCCTTACTTATGTAGGGGCACATGTGTTTTTTCCATAATATAAGTAATATAAATCAATTCTGGCCGAATGGGAGAGTGATCTTTTTCTCTCATTCGAACCAGTTCTTTCTCTTTCTTCTCTTCTCTTCTCTCTCTCTCTCTCTCTCTCTCTCTCTCTTCATTCTTCTTGACTATTATCAGCTTAATAGGATTCAAGGGCAGGCCGAATCCTAATATGGTATCAGAGCATAACTGAGCAAATCACACCTGCCCAGAATTCTGTTCTCTGCGCACCCAGTCGAAGGTTTTCTCTTGGTCTCTTTGCCATCTGTTGGAGATAAGGGAAAGGGCTGAAAAGGAGTGGTCGCCCTCTTCCCTTGGAGGTTTCTATGCCTCCAGTTGTGTTGTTTGTGGTTGGTTGCTATGTTTTCTAAGAAGCCCTCCCCTAATCGATGAAGAGAAGAGGGCTGATTCGTATGGTGCAGTGGATGTCTTGTGTGGTCTGATTTTTGGGTGATTAGATAAGAGATTTCTATGCAATTTCGTGTTGTGAATCAAATCATAAGTCTGTTTCAGATCGTATGGTGGGATTTCAGATTGTAGTGTGCTAGGGTTTATGGTTTCTTTCACTGTGATTCGAAAGGGGAGTGGTCTTCAAACAGTGTCGTGAGTGTTCAAGTAGTCGTGGGGTAGGGTTTGTGGTGTAAAGAGTGCAATTTTCAGCAGTACTAAGTGTTGAAACCAATGTGTTCAGTGTGTGGTGTGGTCTAGTGTGCAGTGTGTCGAATTCAGCTATGGGAGACAGTAGTGATAGAAAGACTAATGTGATGGCCCCTACTAACTACCTGAATGTTCAAATGACCTCCATTAAATTGAATGGAGAAAATTATGTACCCTGGGCTAAATCTGTAGAAGTTTTTCTTAAGGCAAAGAAGAAGGTGAAACACATAAGGGAAGAAACCCTCCACCGATTCTCATGAGTATGATGACTGGGAACAAGAAGATACACAGATTATCACATGGTTATGGAATAGTATGGAACCCAAGATTAGTGTAAACTTCATGTTTCTTGACACTGCCAAAGAAGTGTGGGGTCATGCTAAGTTGTATTCGGGTCAAGACAATACAACCGGAGTATATCAGCTGTATCAGGAATACTTTAATCTACAGCAGGGTAATCAGAGTCTTGAGGAGTACTATGCTAGTATGAGAAACATCCGTAATGAGTTGAATGTTTATCACGCCCTCACTTTTGATGTCAAAATTCAGCAACAGAGAGAACAACTTGATGTAACTCAACTTTTTGTGGGGCTGAGATCTGAGTATGAACCAGTGCGGGCCCTGATACTAGGAGGATCAGCTCTCCCTTCCTTAGAAGAAGTGTTTGCTCGAGTTAGGAAGATTTCCATTGGATCTACCGAGAACACTAGTGTTTTTGATAGATCAGCCTTTGCAGTATCAAGGGGTCGTGGTGTTAGAGGTGGAGTTCAGTCTGGCCGTAGTGGTAGCAGAGGACCGGTATATGGCCGGAGTGGTGGTGGTGGACCTACCTATAACCGTGGTGGTGGTCGTACTGGAGGTAGAGATTCAGGGAGAGCCCGTGACCGAGGACGTAGTTCAAGTCCGAGGAGGTGTACACTGTGGTATGGATGGACATGCAATTAATTATTGCTATGACTTGCATGGTCCACCTTCAACTTGGACCAATCATGCCATGACTAGTGACTTTAGCTTCAAACAGGCGAGTCGTTCAGCTAATTAGATACTCCCTACATCCACAGATGTTCCCGGGAAGGAGATGATGAGTGTTCCCCGTGATGAGTAAGAGAGGTTTGCTCAGGCCACATCTCAGTAGAACACGACCACTCTAGCACACTTAGGTATGGCTTGTTTGGCATCCACACCCAATCCTTGGATTATTGACTCAGGAGCCTCCGATCACATGATTGGAACTCCAGGTGTGTTTTCTTCCCTCTCTCATTGCTCAACATCACAATCTGTCACCCTTGCTAATGCCTCCTCATCCTCCATTTGTGGGGTTGGCAATGTTAACATGACCCCTTTACCTTTATCCTCAGTTCTGTATGCCACTAAGTTTCCGTTTAACCTTATGTCAGTTAGTAAGTTGACCAAGTCTCTTAATTTCTCTGTTACTTTTTACCCTTCTTCGTGTATTTTTCAGGATCTCAAGATGAGGATGAAGATTGGTGGAGGGCATGAAGTCGATGGATTGTATTATCTTGACGGTGGTGGAAGAACGTCAACAGCTCTCCAGTCATCTCTCTCTCCTCTCCAATGGCACTGTTGATTTGGTCATCCTTCACTGAAAGTTTTGAAGTCTTTGGTTCCTTCGTTGAGTCATCTTTCTGTTTTGGATTGTGAGTCGTGTCAGTTGGGGAAACATCATCGTGTTCCCTTTAGTCTTAGGGTTGGTAACCGTATGTCGAGTCCTTTTTCTTTGGTTCATTCAGATGTTTGGGGTCCTTATAAAGTAATGTCATACAATGGATTTAGATATTTTGTCATTTTTGTTGATGATTATTCAAGGATGACGTGGCTCTATTTAATGAAAGAAATGAGTGAATTGTTTACCATTTTCCAAAATCTTTATGCTGAGATTCACAATCAATTTGGTATTCACATTAAAATTTTTCGTTTCGATAATGGCCATGAATATTTTTCTTCATCATTTCAAGAATACTTGGACCAATATGGCATTATCCATTAGACTTCATGTACCTACACTCCACAACAAAATGGAGTGATTGAGAGAAAGAATCGTCATCTTTTGGAAATAGCTCGATCTCTCATGCATCACATGAATGTCCCCAAACCCTTTTGAAGTGATGCGGTGCTTCTTGCTTCTTGATTAACCGGATGCCCACGTCTATCCTTGATGGTCATTCTCCATTCACCACTTTGTTCCATACCTTGTCTCTGTTTCCTCTTTCTCCTCGGGTTTTTGGGTGTGTTTGTTTTGTGCATAATCTAGGCCCAGGAAGGGACAAGTTAGATGCACGATCCGTTAAGCGCATCTTCCTTGGCTATTCCCGGACTCAGAAAGTGTATAAATGTCATCATCCTAGCTCTCGATGTTCCTTTGTGTGTGTTGATGTTACCTTCTTTGAGTCTACTCCGTTTTTCTTGGGGTCCAGTGATGTTCTTCCTCCTCATCACCTCCTCCCCTTCCTCTTCCAGTTGCGGGTTCCGTTCCTCTTGTTCCAGTTGTGACCAAGTCCTTGCCTCCGGTGCCACCACCTGTTGAGCGGCCACCTATCCGTCAAGTGTATACACATTGCACACATGTACCGGCTCCTCCTCCAATTCCATCATCGTCAACAGATCTGGCAGTTGTCCCCACACCAACCTCATCCCCAGTATCTGACCTTGATCTTCCCATTGTTGTGTGGAAATGTAAACATATTTCTAATTATGTTTCTCTCACTCACCTTTCTGCTTCCCATCGCCAGTTTATCTCCTTGTTGTCCTCTGTTGTTGTCCCTAAGGATGTCCAAGAAGCCCTTGCCTCTCCAGGATGGCATCGTGCAATGGAAGAAGAACTCTCAGGTTTAACTCATAATCATACATGGGACCTCACTCCTCTTCCTCCTAGTAAGCAGGCTGTTAACGGCCCATATTTTTTTCCAATAAAAGCATCCACAACACAGGTTGTCGGTTGTAAGTGGGTTTATACTGTTAAGTACTTACCTGATGGTAGTGTAGGGCGATTGAAAGCTAGACTGGTTGCCAAAGGGTACTCCCAAACCTATGGTATTAATTACATAGAGACCTTTTCCCCAGTTGCTAAGATTGGTTCAGTTTGTGTTGTGATCTTTCTTGCTGCTATGTATGATTGGCCCCTCTATCAACTTGATATCAAGAATGCTTTCTTGCATGATAATTTGCTTGAGGAGGTCTATATGGAGCAACCACCAGGGTTTGTTGCTCAGGGGAAGGACGGTAAGTTGTGCAGACTAAAGAAGGCCATTTATGGGCTTAAACAGTCTCCTCGAGCATGGTTTGGTAGGTTCAATGAGGTGGTAAAGAAGTTTGGTATGAAACAGTGCCAAGTTGACCATTCAGTCTTCAGCCATGACTCTCAGGCAGGAAAGATCCTATTGGTGGTGTATGTAGATGATATTGTTATTATCGGAAATGATAAAATGGGCATTGATAGGTTAAAGGCTTTTCTGCAAGATCATTTTCAGACAAAGGACCTTGGTAAGTTGAAATATTTCTTGGGGATAGAAGTAGCAAGGTCTAAGCATGGTATTAACTTGTGTCAGAGGAAATATGTCATTGATTTGTTGGAAGAAACAGGTTTGTTAGGTGCTAAACCAGCTGAAACACCTATGGAAATAAACACTAAGCTGAGCAACGATATGGGTGAAGTGTTTGAAGACACTAGCAGATACCGGAGGCTTGTAGGTAAATTGAACTACCTAACCATTACTCGGCCAAATATTTCATTTGCAGCTAGTGTGGTAAGTCAGTTCATGCAGAATCCTTTGGTTCCACATTGGGATGCGGTTCTAAGGATTGTGAGGTATTTAAAAGGGGCTCTTGGTTATGGTTTGATATACAAGAGTGGTGGAAAACTTGAAATAGAA